GCCAGCGACAGTGTAGGCTGCAGTGGGGCTGGCCGCCAGCGGGCGTGAGCTTTCATGAGCTGCCAAGAGTTGCTGTGAGCGGCCGTCCAATGACCGGCGAGTGACTGCCTCACCCGGGAAGAGCACAATGATAATACCAACATGGGCCAGTGAAGCAACGTCCTCCACAACTAGACTGAAGAGCAAAAGGGCAGCAACTTGTATGTTCCCCTTACCCGATTCCCCAATAAAATCTTTCAAAAAATAAAAATAAAAAAGAAAGGGAGATTTGATATGAGACACAGAAAAGAGCGCCATGTGAGGACAGAGGCAGAGACTGAGTGACACAGCCACAAGCCAAGGGATGCCAGGGACTGCAGGGCACCAGCAGTATCCAGGGGAGGCCTGGGACATACCTTCCCTCAGAGCGTCACAGTGACCTGACCCTGCTGACACCTTGATTTTGGACTTCTGGCCTCCAGAACTGTGAGACCACGAACTTCTGTTGTTGTTTTATTTCACGGCCATCTCGTTTGTGGTGTTTTGGCCACCCCCTGGAAACTCATACACCAGACCGCAGGCATCCCCCTGGGATGGTTCAAATCAGGGTTTGGGGATCAGTCCTGAGGTGGTACATGAGAAGCTTCTGTTGAGGGTGTGTGTGTGTGTGTGTGTGTGTGTGTGTGTGTGTGTGCGCACGCGTGTGTGTGTGTGTGTACACATCTGTGTGAAATGTATTGACATTTAGGGAAGACTTTGAATATACAGTTTATTGAACAAATATTAAGTATCAGGCTTTATTTTCACAACAGTGCTTATAACTTGAAGAGATTTGATTCTTCTCTTTAGCTCTGCTACTGACTATCTGTACATGTGACCTGACTCACAAAATGAGGGAGAAAAGCCAATATAAAACAAGAAAGTAATGGACACCTAAGCTAAGGCCAGTGTTTTGTCTTTTCAATTCTCTTCATCTTTCATCTTTAGCTTCAATATCACAAACGTCCTTTAAAACCGGAGTAGCTTTACAAGACAAGGATCCCTACTTTTGCCACTTTCATTCAACAGTGCTGGAAGTTCTAGCCCAAGCAATTAGGCAAGATAAAGAAATAAACCATATCAGACAGGAAGAAGTAAAATTATCTCTGCTCACAGATGATATGAATTTATATGTGGAAAACCAAACCATAAAGATTCCACAAAGACTGTGATAACAAATGAATGAATTCAACAAAGTGGCAAGATACAAAATCAACATGTAAAAATCAGTTGCATTTCT